GGAGGAGGGGAGTGACAGGGCTGGCTGAAGCTTTGCCAGCTCATGCCAGTTTTAGTGGAAGGTAGGATGGATGGATTCCTCCATTTTTGCTGTGCCAACTCCAGCACAGGACCATAAGTCCTTGGATCTCCAAAACCTCTGGCACTCCACCGCAACGTGGGCCTTTCTGCTGGCTACTACCAGTCAGTGGCAGCTTCCTGTTTCTGCATCTAGTGTCTTAAACCTGTGGCAGAGAGACACGGGAAGCAGCAGGACCCGCTCTGCTGAGACACCACCTCCATTTGATGCTTCCACTCTCTCTCAACTGCGTGGTCATTGGAACCATCAGGTATAGCCCTGCTTCCAGTCACCACCCATCTAATCTCTGATGAGGGGGACCCTTGGAAGAAGGCTATTACTTAAGATCCTAATGGGCAAGTTCAGAAGATATAAAGATAGTGGATCACACCTATAGTCACCTAGTACATTCACAGCTGAGGGAAGGCCAGTGGTTCGAATCCGCGCAACGGGGTGAGCTCCCATCGCTTTGTCCCAGCTTTTCCCAACCTAGCAGTTCGAAAGCAGACCAGTGCAAGTAGATAAATAGGTACCGCTGCAGCAGGAAGGTAAATAGTGTTTCCATGCGCTCTGGCACTCATCACGGTCCTCCGTGTGCCATTAGCGGTTTAGTCATGCTGGCCACATGACCCGGAAAGCTATCTGTGGACTAATGTCGGCTCCCTTGGCCTGAAAGCGAGATGAGCGCTGCACCCCATAGTCGCCTTTGACTGGACATAACTGTCCAGGGGTCTTTTACCTTTACCAAAGAAGAAGTCACAGCTGAGCAGTCGGTTGAACCGAAGTCTCCCAGTTCATAGTGCACGCTTTTAAGATTTCACTTTACCAACTCCCATGCTTAAATTCTCTTGATTTCTCAGTTATGCGTCAACTCAATATAAATTAGTTGTGTCTTTGCTTTTTGAAAAAATAAAAGAAATGCAGCCAAATTATTTAGGAATAGCCATTTACAAACTTGGGGAAGGGATGCAGATCAGTGCTTTGCATGCAAAAGCTCCAAGGTTCGATCCTTGGCATCTCCAGGTAGCCCTGGAAAAGCATCTGCCTGAAACCCCAGAGAGCCATTGTCTTGTCAGTGTAGAGACAACACTGAGCGCAATGGACCTGGTATGCAGCAGCTTTCTATGTTCCTCTCCCCCTTCTTTTCATTCTCCTGCCCCAGCATCTGGCTTTGCTTCCCACACTTCTCCAGGGCCACCACCGCGTTTGACTCAGAGGCATGACATGATATGCTGCCCATGCTCTTAACAGCACAGTGGTATTGGGCAAATAGCGTATAGTGTGCCGTCTCCAAGTCTCCTGGTTTGTCTGCATCCACATGGAAGGAATCTGCTTTCCATAAATATCTCACAGAATTGATCAGCTGTGCGTGTGAAGCAGTTGACAGCTGTCCCTGGGGGACGCAGCATCTTTTGAGCAGAATGTCCCAGCAACACCCCATGGTCTTACATTCCTCAGATGTATAAATGTGGGGATGCAGCCGCCTTCAGTGACCCATGGGTATTCTGAGTGGTTTTATAAAAAATGCTACAGCCAGCCTTCCTTGCCTATATTGGCTGTTCTCTCAACACCTTCATTGTTTTCGTTTCAGAAATTATATCAGATGTACTCGGTGACTTGGAAACTTGGGAGTGTCTCTTGGGAGCTTAAAAGGAAATGAGTCCAGTTGAAGTAAGGAAGGAGCACTTAGTTTCCTGTTAAGTTAAGCCCTTTGTCTCAGTGCCGGATTAACATATAAACTAAACAAGCTATGGCTTAGGGCCCCACTCTCTTGGGTCCCCCCAAAAAATTAAAGGGGAAAAAACCCGGATGTACATTTCCAATTGTATTTCAGTTCAACAATTACTTGGATAAAATACATATTTTGTTATGTACAAATGGCTTTATATATCTATTAGCTCCATAAATTACCATATAGCATATATTCAATACAAAAAACAGCAACAATTTGTTGTTGACAAAGGGCAGCTGGACATATAAAGGGCCCCATTACCTTCAGTAGCTTAGGGCCTCATCAAACCTAAATCTGGCCCTGCTTGGTCTTCTCCAAGACGTGAAGCCTGGTTTTATGCAATTTATGCTGATAATAGTTTATGCCACCTGTGACTGATACTATGAACATCTGCAATTTGTGTTCTTCTGTTTACAGGTATTATTATTATTATTATTATTATTATTATTATTATTATTATTATTATTGCTACAGAAGTGCGCCTCCTCCTAAAACTAGGCACTAAACTTAAGTTGCTGCCCCTGAACACTAGTAGTGGACTTGAAACAAATCTCCTCCTTCAAGGGATGCTACAGCCACGTGTTTCAAATGAATATGGCCAGCTGAACAGACTACTTGGTGGGGAACTCCTGCAAGCACTGAGCTATGGATGAAAAATGCTGGAGTACAGAGTCAATTCTTGTTCGCACCAATGGACTGAGATCAGATGGTGAGAGTTACCTGTGAGTTTCATGCTTTCCGCCTACAAAGAAGCGCTTTCTTGTGGGAATCATGCAATGCTGTGGTGCTAAAGACTCACAACTCCCACCAGCCTCGGGTAGTATGGGCAATGGTTAGGGGTGATGGGAATTATAGTCCACAAACATTTGGATTGTCTTCAGTGTTTCCTGTGTATAGTTCTGCTAGCCTAACCCTACTTACTCTGTTCTTCAGGACGGTTTCTGCTTCACAACTCTTTGTAAACTGCTTAGAAGCCTATTTTGGCATTAAGCAGCCTAAAAATATAAATAAATTTTAAAAATCTCAATAATACCAATGAACTTATAAAAACATGATTTTATTTTTTTCCAGTTTTGAACAAGTTTACAATGAACATGTTAAAGGACATGCTGGGAGTATCATTGTATTTTCTTACTGTTCCCAGTCATGTAATTATTTGTTTCCAGTGTTTGATTAGCAAATCTTCAGCTAAAGCCTTCAGCATAACAGACTCCAAACAGTAGATCATTAATAAAATCACAGTAAAATACATTGCAGCGGACAGCCTAAAATAAATTATCGGCCCAGAACCCTCATCTACAACACCTTAAAGACCTGATGAAAGGTTTTTCACCAGGAGTCCCATCTCCCCGCCCCCCGGGCAAAAGGCTGGGATTTTATTTTATTTATTTCTTTTTAAAAAAATTATTGAATGTTTTCACATAACAAATTATTCCAACAAATCATCTTCATTATATTTCCCCCCATTTTCCCCTCCCCCTCCCTACGACTTCCCTCAGCTCCTCTCTCTGATTTTTTAATGATTTTTTTAATGAACTGGACTCCTTGGCAGGTTTTGAAAAAACATACACAAACATTGTTGCTAATATAATAGATAGATAACTTGAGAATTTTTACATTTTTATAACATGCAGAGAATAATTATTTTATTTTCAATATGTTTTATTTAAATTTGAAAGAAAATACAAAGATTAATATCAGGTATCTTTTTACCAAACTTAAAAAACTAATCTAAATAAAAACACATATCAGAAAGGAAAAAGGAAAAACAAGATGAAAAGAAAAAAGAAGAGAAAAAGAGCATCAAATTCTTCATCTGTATGTAGAAATGTATTCAAGATATCTACTCCAAGATAACAGCCAGCAAATCTACTTTCTATAAACCAGTATTATCTTAAATCCTCAAACCCAGATATCATAAGTTCATTTTCTGTTTCATGCTAAAATCGTGTAAGAAGTTTCCAGTCTTTAGTAAATGTTGACAATGATTTTTCTCTGATTAAACACATAAACTTTGCCATTTCAGTGAAGTCCAATAATTTTAACAACCATTCCTCCACTGTAGTTAATGATTATTCTTTCCATCTGTGTGCACTTAAAAGTCTCACTCTGTAATCATATACTGAAATAAAGTTTTATCATCTTTTTCTAACTATATATCCTTAAGTCCCAGCAGGAGGAGCTCTGGTTTCAGTTGAACATTAACCTTCAAATTTCTCTGTATTTGTGTATGCATTTGTATCCATAATTTTTTGGTTTTTATACACTTCCACCAGGCACGATAAAATGTCTGGGGAATTAATTTTAGAGGTGGGGCACGACGTTAGAATTGACCTTGTTTTTAGCACTGTTCATAGAATCATAGAGTTGGAATAGACCACAAGGGCCATCGAGTCCATCGATGGTCCATCGAGCTGTTCTCTAGCTATAGTCTGAACTGCTTCTCCAAGCCCCCCAATGATCCCAGAAACGGAAAGGTTGGAGGATGGATGGCGGCTAACAGATTGAGGTTAAATCCTGACATGACAGAAATACTGTTTGGACGGGATGGGGCAGGCGTATGTGGGGGACTCCCTGATCCTGAATGGGGTAACTGTGCCCCTGAAGGACCAGGTGCGCAGCCTGGGAGTCATTTTGGACTCGCAGCTGTCCATGGAGGCGCAGGTCAATTTTGTGTCCAGGGCAGCTGTCTACCAGCTCTATCTGGTACATAGGCTGAGACCCTACCTGCCCTCAGACTGTCTTACCAGAGTGGTGCAAGCTCTGGTTATCTCCCGCTTGGTCTACTGCAACACGCTCTACATGGGGCTACTTTTGAAGGTGACCTGGAAACTACAACTAATCCAGAATGCAGCAGCTAGACTGGTGATTGGGAGTGGCTGCCAAAACCATATAACACTGGTCTTGAAGACCTACATTGGCTCCCAGTACGTTTCCGAGCACAATTTAAAGCCCTAAATGGCCTCGGCCCAGTATACCTGAAGGAGTGTCTCCACCCCCATCGTTCTGCCCGGACACTGAGGTCCAGCGCCGAGGGCCTTCTGGCGGTTCCCTCACTGCGAGAAGCGAAGTAACGGAACCAGGCAGAGGGCCTTCTCGGTAGTGGCGCCCGCCTGTAGAACACCCTCCCATCAGAAGAAATAAACAACTATCTGACATTTAGAAGACATCTGAAGGCAACCCTGTTTCAGGAAGTTTTTAATGACTGATGTTTTAATGTTTTTTAATTTTTTGTTGGAAGCCGCCCAGAATGGCTGGGGAAACCCAGCCAGATGGGTGGGGTATAAATAATAAATCATTACTATTACTATCCAGAAGGAGGAATAGCCATGTTTACTGCCTGGGCTGAAGTTAACAACTAATGAGCTCACAATGCGGTTGGGGTCCCCGGTTCAGTCCCATTCTTCTTTCAGTTCCATGTAGAACTTTGCCAGGTTCTGCACCATCTCCTCCAATTTATTAGCCTTGACTCTGAGCTCATCTGCCTTTTCTGTCTTGGCCCCGTTTGACAAGTCTATGGCACCCTTAGTAATGAAGTAAGCATCCAGTGCAAGAAAAACCCCGGACGCCACGGCCCCTGCCACTCTAGCAGTCTTGCTCGCTGCGAGGGCGGTTCCTTTAAATGCCTCATCGACCTGATCAATCCCCTTGATTGCACTCCTGGCTACGGTCCCTACTGTACTTGCTTCCTTGGCCAAACCCTTCAAGGCAGGATTAGTGCTAGCCACTGCCAATGCCTCTACATTTGCTGCAATGTCTGTTGCTTGGTCAACCACTGTTGGAATGAGCCTAGCAACAGCACAACCCGAAGTGATTGCCGTTTTGGCTACTTCCAGATTAGCGTTATCTGGGGGCAGTTGAGACTTGAAACCAATTTTCTCGAGGCTCAGCGCCATTCTTAGGCTCTTCTCACATTCGTTTATCAGTTCTTGCGATTTTTTCTTCTCCATTGAATGAATAATGCTCTCGGACACACCAGCAGAAATGCCAGTTACTCCTGACGCTATCCCTAAGCCCATGCCTGTGGCTGTCAGGATTAAACTTGCGCCTGCTGTTACAGGGGTCAAGGCCAGTCCCACGATGGTCAGGATACCAGAAACTGCACTTGCAGAGCTGGCAGTAACGCTGGCAATGGTGCAATCCTTATGGGTCTTGTCAATGTCGTCTGCCCTTTCCCGAAGGGATTGGATGCACACCTCAATCTCTTTTTTCTTGTCAGGGAATTCTTTGAGAAAATGAGCAATAGCTTCATCAAGAGCTTTCTCTGAAGGCATGTTTCCTGCATTTCTGCAAATATAAATACATATTAAAAATGGGGCTAAAAGATAGGTCCCCTCCCCCCCCCAATTTCCTGCATCCCCTACAAATCTGTGCTTCCTGAGAAAGCAGACAAAAAACAAATGTGTATGATGCATATACAGTGGTATCTCGGGTTACATACGCTTCAGGTTACATACACTTCAGGTTACGGACTCCGCTAACCCAGAAATATTACCTCGGGTTAAGAACTTTGCTTTAGGATGAGAACAGAAATCGTGCTGCGGCAGCAGGAGGCCCCATGAGCTAAAGTGGTGCTTCAGGTTAAGAACACTTTCAGGTTAAGAACAGACCTCCAGAACAAATTAAGTTCTTAACCCGAGGTACCACTGTAATTACAGAAACACGTAGAATTCAGTATTTTAATTGAACATCTCTTATGGAAAATCGTCTATGGCTGCAATTCTAAAAAGTGGCGGGGGCTGCTAACACCCCTTGGAAGATGGGGAAAGGGGCTGCCCTCTTTTTCCTCTGTACAATATTCCTGGTCTGTAGGACTCAAAACAGGATCAGATAATAATCTTTCTCCATTTATTCATCTGGAAAGTGTGAAGCCTCCCACTACTTCTTTTTTTTCTAGTTTATCTCTCTCTCTCTCTCTCTCTCACACACACACACACACACTTTTCAAGTTTATAGTAAAAGTAAAGGTACCCCTGCCCGTACGGGCCAGTCTTGACAGACTCTGGGGTTGTGCGCCCATCTCACTCAAGAGGCCGGGGGCCAGCGCTGTCCGGAGACACTTCCGGGTCACGTGGCCAGCGTGACAAGCTGCATCTGGCGAGCCAGCGCAGCACACGGAACGCCGTTTACCTTCCCGCTGGTAAGCGGTCCCTATTTATCTACTTGCACCCGGGGGTGCTTTCGAACTGCTAGGTTGGCAGGCGCTGAGACCGAACGACGGGAGCTCACCCCACCGTGGGGATTCAAACCGCCGACCATGCGATCGGCAAGTCCTAGGCACTGAGGTTTTACCCACAGCGCCACCCGCGTCCCACTTTTGAAGTTTATACATTTCACTAATTTTACATTCATTTTGACATTTCAAAACTTGACTTCCATCCCCCTCTTTCTGCAGTTCCTTAAATTTATTCTTCTGCATATCCACATTAACTTAATTTGCTCATTTATTCATCTTCTTTAAATACAGACTCATAACACTGCAGGTTGTTACAATAATCCTGTCAATGTTTTTATCTGTTTATAATTTATCTGTAAATATTCAATTTACATTCAATTACAATTTACATTTACATTCTTTTATTTTTTAAAAAATGTTATCTTGATTTCTTATTCTTCTGGTAAGTTTTGCCATTTTTGCAAATATTCCATATTTTTTTGTATCCATTCTTCCTTTATTGGGACTTCTGCTTCTTTCCATTTTGGGGCAAGTAATATTCTTGCCGCTGTAATACCATACATGAATAAATTTCTATACATTTTAGGTAGTTCTGCCCCTATAATTCCCAAAAGAAAAGCTTCTGGATTTTTTTTTACAAAAGTTACTTCAAGCATTCTTTTCATTTCAGTATACAGTGGTGCCCCGCAAGACGAATGCCTCGCAAGACGAAAAACTCGCTAGACGAAAGGGTTTTCCGTTTTTTGAGTCGTTCCGCAAGACGAATTTCCCTATGGGCTTGCGAGTTCTTGCGAGTTTGTTTCCTTTTTCTTAAAGCCGCTAAGCCGTTAATAGCCGTGCTTCGCAAGACGAAAAAACCGCAAGACGAAGAGACTCGCGGAACGGATTAATTTCGTCTTGCGAGGCACCACTGTATATCATTTCCCAGTAAGCTTTGACCTTACTCCAAGACCACCACATACGATAAAAAGAACCTTCTTTCTCATTACATTTCCAACACTTACTTGATTTAGATTTATACATTTTTGCCAACTTACTCAGTGTTAGATACCATCGATATATCATTTTCATATAATTTTCTCTTAGACCATAGAATGCTATAAATTTTATATCCATATTCCACCATCGTTCCCATGCTTCCATATCTACAGTCGTACCTTGGAAGTCGAATGGAATCCGTTCGGCTTCCAAAACATTCAGAAACCAAATCGCAGCTTCTGATTGGCTGCAGGAAGCTCCTGCAGCCAATCAGATGCCCCGTCGGATGTTCGGCTTCCAAAAATAGTTCACAAACCATAACAATCACTTCTGGGTTTGCGGCATTTGGGAGCCAAAGCGTTCCAGAACTAGACTGTTTGAAAAGCAAGGTACGACTGTATATTATGACCAATATCTATTGCCCAATGTATCACTGAGGATTCTGGGAGATGCTTTGGGCTCCTTTTATATGCAATGAACAAAGGTAACAATTAGAATACCAGCAGCTTGAGAACTACCTTTGGAATTCTGACATTCTCCAGCAGCAATTTGGGCAGGTGCCACACAGATACTAAATGGTAAATCCGCTCTTCTCAGCTTGAGTGTACTTTAGTCTGGAAAGGAAAACAACTAGATAGTAAGGATGAAGGTGAACCAAGATAAGAAATCTCCCAATGAAACTAACTTCAGTAATATCATTATAATTCTTACAAACATCTGAACTTCATACTCTAGCCATGTCTGTAAGCTCTTAGGACTGAGCTAGAAAATACTTTTGACCAAAATTTCAATTTATTATAAATATTTTTGCACTACACTTCAGTAAGAGTTGCCGTGGTACATTTTCAGGGGTGGGGGGAATGCAAATACAATTAAAATGCAAATTTATTTATTTTTATTTAAACAATTTATATACTACTTACCTACAAATGTTCTCTAGGTGGTATGCAAACACACTACACATAAAACAGTTAAAACCAGAAATTCAAAGTTCAATTAAAATGCCTGCTAGATTTTATTTTTTTAAGTCATTGGAAGTTCAGTAGGGAGGGAGCTTGTCTGACCTCAATGGGAAGGAAGTTCCACAAAATTGGGCCCACAATAGGAAACATGCAGTTCCTTGTGCATGCAAGCCATGCATCCAAGCCGTTGGGGATCACGAACTATGGCTTCCTCCAAGATTTAAATAATCATAAAAACAAGGGAGAGTGGGAAGCAGAATGATATTTTTAAAAATATAAAAGGAGAGGAGAGGGACTAGCAGGTTTAAACCTATGTCTGAAAAAAAAAGGAAAGCAAATGTTTTTCCCGGTACCAAAATGACAATGGAAGCTGTGCTAGGTGGAGAATGTGAACATACCATAACTGAGGTGCCAATACTCTAGAAGGTCCTCTGTTCCCCACACACTACACCACATGGGAGACAGGCAGTCCTTCAAGTATCTTGGCCCCACAATGAGATATGTTTTAAAGGTCAAAACTTTTAAAATTGGGTAATTGAGCCTACAGACTGACTGGAAACATAATCATGTAACCCAGACTCCCCCAGCTTGTGGGGGGGCTCTATACCTGTTTTGAACTATATCTCCCTTCAGTCTCAGTAGGTCCAAAATTCTCTCTGGGTTGGAGAAGGTTATGTAACCCATTTAACTAGCTAGTATTTCAGCCCAGTGATATTTCCCATGCAAAAGAGGGAATGACAGGGCTATCCTATGTCCCTAATGCTCTTTGCTTTATCTGCCAAGCCATTTGCAAAAGATGTTAAGAGGGAATCCTAGAATAAAGGATGCTGGAATCTCTTTCATTTTTTCAGTACAGTGGTACCTTGGGTTATGTACCGTCCCCCTTACGAATCCTTCGAGTTACGTGCTCCGCTAACCTGGAAGTAGACGCCCCTTGTTGTGAAGTTTGCCCCAGGATGCGAGTGGAAATCATGCTCCGGCGGCACAGCAGCAGCGGGAGGCGCCATTAGCGAAAGCGCGCCTCATGTTACGAGCAGTTTCCAGTTATGAACGGACCTCCGGAACGGATTGAGTTCACAACCGGAGGTACCACTGTATGACATAACATTTGGGTTCAAAGGTAACTTGCACAAAATCAAGAATTAAGCCAATCAATTTTTCTTTTAGGATTCAGGATTAATTTTTCTATCAAGTATGCCAGTGCAAAATGTTTAAACACAGTATGAAAGTACCTAGGAGGAATCCTCATTATTTCAAACAGGGCCGATCTCTTAGAAAACAATTGCATTAAGCTAATTAGATCTATTAAGGCAGAGTTTAAAGAGTGGGGGGAAATTAAAGCTATTGTGGCTCATGCAAATCCACACACTTAAAACGGTTGTGTTGCCAAAGCTCCTGTTTTTACTTTCAGTCTAAACCAGCGATAATCCCCAGGAAATTAATTAAGAATTGGCAGAAGATACTGAGTGAATTCATGGGGAGTAGCGTCAAAGGCCAACATCTTAGGACAGGGATCTAAATGTCTCGAAACAAGTGTCATAATAATTGTGCAGCTCAGTTACAATTTGTTCATTTCTTACTTGATCCATCATGCCAAACCGAATGTCAGGCTTTAGGGGGGAAATGGACCTAGAAAGCTATACCCCAGAAAGCCTCCAAACTAGTGCCTGCACAAGTTTTGAACAACAAGTCCCATTAGCACCAGTTGCCATTGTTTGGGTAATTCAAAACATCTATAGCAGGTGTGCAGAACCTCTGCTCTGCAGGCCAAAGTTGGCCCAGTGTGAGTCCTAGTTTGACCTGTAAAGCCATTTCCCCCAAACCACGCCCACCTGCTGGACACCTGACATCATATGTGATGTCATGTATGGGGCAGGTATGAGGATGAGGATTTGTATACCGCCATACATCATAAGATTGCAGGACAGTGCACAGAATAAAATACAGGATAAAAACAAGGAAATAAGTAAAACAAAACAGCAAAACAATACCCCCCCTTCCCAGAGACACATTTAAAAGGCTGTAGAATATTAATCAGCCAAAGGCCTAGTTGAAGAGGAACGCTTTTGCCTGGCACCTAAAAATATATAATGAAGGTGCCAGGTGAACGTCGCTGGGGGAGAGCATTCCACAAACAGAGAGCCACTACAGCAGGCATAGGCAAACTCGGCCCTCCAGATGTTTTGGGACTACCATTCCCATCATCCCTGACCACTGGTCCTGTTAGCTAGGGATGATGGGGTTTTTAGTCCCAAAACATCTGGAGGGCCGAGTCTGCCTATGCCTGCACTACAGAGAAGGCCCGTTCTTGTGTTGCCATCTTCCAGACGTCACATGGAGAAGGCACACAAAGAGGGGCCTCAAATGATGAAGGCAGAGACTTCCGGAGGCGGCGCGTTCAGCAATGGCGGTCCTCTTCAGCTGCTGAAGAGGAGCTCCGCGGAAAAGGGTCGTGCGCTGCGGCACAGCGACGACCCATCAAGAGAAACCACGGGTAGAGTGAGCCCGTGGCCGTGGGGTTCGGCGGGCACCAGAAGCTACCTCGGAAACGCAGAAGAGACCCCGTAAGGGGCCTTGGAACGTGGAGGGGGTAGCGGTGCTGTGAATCCATCGCTCTTTCCGCGGAAGTGAAGCCGTGCGGCTGCTGCTGATCGGCGCTGACCTTTCTTCTTTGAACAACAGAATTGAAACAACCTACTCGTGAGTAAGAAACCTGAGGCTTTAACTGAACTTAATTTGGCGAATTTTGGCTGAAAGCGGGAGATGCTAAAAAGGAAGTCAGCCTTCCGCTCTGTTTAAAGTATCGAGCAAAGTCCCTTTAAAGTTGAAGCGCTGAAAGGAACTTAAAAGGAGTTGGAATGTACTTTGCAAATTCGGCTTTGATTGAATAGAAGTTAAAGAAAGGACATAAAAGTTTTACAAGTGAGCAAAGACTGTGATCCTCTTTCTATTCCCATGTGGATTACAAAGTTTTGAAACCCTGCTCTCGGTCTGATCAGATACAAGTAACATCGGACTGCGGTAACTGTAGATAAAATTATTAAGTTACATTGGGCTACTTTGTAAATTGCAAAAAGGAACTGTTGCACGCACCTCGGCAAAGAACTTTTATTCTCTGCAGTTTAAACTGAATGTGAAGGGTTCCCCCCCTGCTTCGGATAACTTTTTCTCTTGTTGCGGTTGTGGGAACTTAATGGTGGAAATTTCCTATCCTTCTCCCTAATTTCTGGGGAGCTCCCCCTGCTGGATTGTGGAATTATTAGTCTCTGAGAACTGCTACTGGTCTTGGAATTTTTTCTATCTGGATGTTTACCTTCTTTGGGATTGCTTTTCCCATGGGATTTACAATTTGACCTTGACACTGGGACAGCTGTGGAATGAGTGGCTCAGCAAAAACAAGGGCCGGAAAGAAAGCAAAACAAACGGAACTTTTACAATCAACTTTGCCTGTGCAGTTACGCAGATCATCTGTCCCAATTTTGACAGGTCTGCAGGAAAGACAATCTATACAGCCTACTCTTGGAGAGATGGCTGCTGGAGGGCTAGATCCTGTCTCTAAAGAAATATTGGAGCAGTTGGCAGCACTGAATAAGAAAGCTGACGAACAAGCAGTTAGGTTTGATGAACAAGCTGCTAAATTTGACCAGGTGACAGCCTCAATTAATAAATTGACAGACCAAGTCACTAAAAATACACAGGCAATAGGTAACATTGAAAAGTCTACAACAGAAAATCGAAAACTAGTCGAGGAAGTAAATACAAAAGCAGACGAAAACAAAAAGAGGATAGAGGAATTAAGAGGGGAAGTTAGACCACTGAGTAGACAGGTTTCTGAACAACAAGTGTATCTGTCCCTTGCAGAACTGAAAAATAGGGAAAATAATCTCAGAATTAGAAACATCCCAGAATTAGAAAAAGAGGACCTGATTGGCTTTTTGACAACAGAAATAGCCAAATTCTGGGGTCTGGCAGAAGAGAAAGACTTTAAAATCGTCACCGCTTTCAGATTAGGAAGAGTGGCTAAGAAGGATAAACCAAGAGATTGCCTGATCATTCTGAGATCTAGGCAAGAAAAAGAAAACATACTCGGCTTGCAGTTTTAAAAACTCATTGGTGATTCAGGGAAAAAAGGCAGAAATCTTCAGAGATATACCAAAACAGCTACTGGATTTAAGAGCTACATATAAAGACCTAGCAACTTTACTGAGAAACAACACAATCCCTTACAGGTGGGAATTCCCTCAAGGACTATCTTTTACTTTGAAAGGGGAGAAGGTAAGAATTAGAACAGCAGAGGAGCAAGAAAAGTTCCTAAAAGACCACGGGGAGGACCTTCGGAAAGGAATAGCAGGTGTCTGGCCACCTCCTTCGTTTGGATTGAACCCGGCACCACCTCCAGACAAAAACGATAAAGGAGACACCCCAACAGGCCAATAACTGGTCCGAGATGTTCTGCAGCTTCTCAGTTGGAACATTAATGGCGCAAACTCTCCTGAAAAAGGAAAAAGATTTTCCATATTTTGAGAAAAGAACAACTAGACATCATTTGCCTTCAAGAAACACATGTGACTAGGCTCCACAGGAGAGTGTTAACCAACAAGAGACTAGGCCAAGAATTTATCTCATCAGACAAGGTTAAAAAAAGAGGAGTAGTGATTTATGCAAAGGAGACCCTAGTACCAAAATTGATTTTTAAAGATGAACAAGGAGAATTTTGGCGATTGAATTCAAGCACCAAGGAGAAAAATTTTTTGATTGTAGGAATCTATGCACCAAATGATGGGAAATCGGAATTCTATAAGGAAGCTGCATGAGACAATGTTGGACTATATTGACTATACTAACATCATTTTGATGGGAGATATGAATGGAGTTGTCTCCACATATATGGATAAGTCACAAAATCAGAATTTGACCAAAGATGGCAGACTTCCAAAGACTTTTTTTGAACTTACAGACAATATGGATTTGATTGATATTTGGAGGACAAAGAATCCTCTAGGTAAAGAAGGAACATTCTTTTCTGAGGCCCACCTATCCTGGACAAGAATCGACCAAATCTGGATGTCTAGAGGACTGGCACCTAAGACTAAAAAAATAGAGATCTGCCCTAAAACCTGCTCCGACCATAACGCCTTGAAAATAGACTTGAGACTTACACCAGCTGGATCCTTCAGATGGAGAATGAATGACTACTTGTTTAGAGATCAGGAGATTGTGAAGAAGGCCCAAAAAACGTTGAAAGATTATTTGAAATAAATTTGAATACTTCGGTGGAAAAGAAAATAATCTGGGACGCGAGTAAAGCTGTTATGAGAGGGTTTCTGATACAACAGAATACTATTAAGAAAAAACTCTGGAATGGTAAAAAGGACAAGATTTTGGAGAAGATAAGAGACGGTGAGAAAAAGTTGAGACTTAAATCCAAAATCAAAAGAAGTTTTAAGAGAAATAAAATTCCATCAAGCACAATATGCAAATTGATAAATCAAGAAGTTGAATGGAAAATTAAACAGATGAAACAAAGATCATTTGAATCAGCAAATAAATGTGGGAAGCTGCTGGCATGGCAGCTGAAAAAGAGACAAAAATTGAACTTTGTTACCAATTTGGAGGTTGAAGGAGAATGTATTCAGAAACCAGAGAAATTAGAAAGTGTTTCCAGAGATATTTCAAAAAATTGTTTACTCAAGACCCCAAGTAGAGACTGAGATAAATAAATTCTTAAAAAACCATGGCCTGCAAAAACTAACACAAGACAAACAAACATCCCTGAATTACAAAATAACACAACAGGAAATTGAAAGCCCATTCAGAATATGCAATTAGGCAAATCCCCAGGCCCAGATGGACTTACCTCCAAATATTATAAGACATTGAAGGAATATTT